TCCAGGAATATAATCTGTTTGATTATGGTGGAACATTCACATACTGTCTTATTGAAGTCTACTAGCTAGAATTTTATCTCAAATTTTTACATTCCTAAGCAAGATTGGTATAGAGCCTCCCTTTGGGGACTCGCCAGCTTTGATAACAGGGTCATGTTTGCTTGAAAGAACGATCTGGAAGTTTTCCATCTTTTTTTCTGAATCTTAGAACAGTTTATATAACACAGGAATTATCTTGTTCCTTGAAAGTTTAAAGGATTTTCAAAAGCCTTTTCATGTTGTAAAGTATTCCACCTGGCACAGGGGTGTGCACACATGTGTGCCTCCATGTGGACACTACTATGTGTTTGTACACTTTCAAAATGACACGTGAGATACTCATCTCTAATGGAATAGCTTTGCTTTAATCAATGCCTTTCTTTCCCCCCATGAAAAGGGAGTAAATGCCCAGGATGATTCAGAAGAGACCATTTTGCCAGGTTTTGGTTCCAAGAGTCCTTTTTAGAAGGATAGAAAGAAGGCAATAGAAGGTGGTCAGGGAATACTAAATGTTGCACCATCCAAATTTCATTGAAGCTGATCAAGTTTAACAACCACACCTTTAGCTCTGGCATATGGTTCCAGGAGACCTAAGACCTAGATAGACAAGGAGCTCACCTGTCTAGCCCCAGGTTACCTCTAGATCTGTGTAAAGGTCTTCCAAGAGACACCTCTCCCTGGGGTATCTCGTCTATAGCATAGTTCTTTTCCAAGCAATAAAAGTTTCTCTAACAGAGAGCCCCTGCTAGCACTTCAAGGGGACTGCAAATAAAAACTTAAGAGTTGTTCATGGACTGAGTATTTATGTCCCCCCAAATTCCTATGCCAAACCTCTAACAGGATGGCACTAGGAGGTAGGGCCTCTGGAAGGTAATTAGGTTTAGATGATGTCATGAGGGTGGAGCCCCCATAATGGGATTAATGCCCAGAGCTCCCTCTCTCCTACAGTGCCCAAGGAAGAAGTGAGGTAAACACACAGGCAAGATGGCAGCCACCCACAAGCCAAGAGAAGAGGCCTCAGAAAGAAACCTGCCTCACAGAGCACTTCAATCTTACTTCTCAATCACCTAAAAGGTGAGAAATCAATTTCTTTTGTTTAAGCCTCCCAGATTGTAGTATTTTGTTATTATAGTCCAAACTGACCAAGACAAGAATGTTCTAGTAATGTCTGTCAAGAACAGAACTGCAGGGGCTGGGGCTGGGGCCCAGTGGTAGAGCGCTTGCCTACATATGTGAGGCATTGGGTTTGATCCTCAGCACCACATAAAAATAAATAAATAAAATACAGATATTGTGTGCATCTACAACTAAAAAATATATATTAAACAAAAAGAACCGAGCTGCAGTTCTGCAGATCTCTTAGTTTGCTGGAGAGTGAGTTATACCTTGAGAGAGCGAAGAGTAAGAAGTCTGAGCAAATTAAGACTGTCTGCTAGCCCATGCAAAAACCATGCCATTGAGCATATAAGAGGATACAAGCAGGACTCAGTGACACCATGCCGAATGACACAGTTAACAGGGCAATAACTATAGCTGAGTGTGTCACCGATGGTCTCCTTTTTCCTGAGAAGTCACCACCAAGTTCATGCCCTTGTTTCCTGAGGATCCATGAAACATTAGCGATCAATGAGACATTAGGATTATCACACCTGTTGCCAGTCAAGGTAATTAGGAGCTTGACACCCACCCAGCTCCAGGATTCCAGAATGCCATTTGGGATTTCACAGGGTTACACAAGCAGTCTTTCTCTCCCCATCAGCAAAGATGGAGGGGTTTCACACCAGTCATTGTCTAACATGAAAGCTTAATCTCTGGTTAGAAGGAAAAACATATTCGTGGCTAAGGCAAGTAGGCATGCTCATCAAAGCAGAATAAAGAGTGTTTATTACTGTTCTGGATTCATCAGGGGTTGGTGTATGCTTGGGGATTTTTAATGACTCCAAAAGGCATCTTTGGAAGACATAAAACTCCAAGATAAAGCCTTTTCTACAAGAACTAACACCAGCAACTGGCTGATGGGCACGCTGCTTTCTCTTAGGAGTGTCTCTTCCTTTCTGGCACTCCTTAGACCAAACCAAGTGTTCTATCTGTATGGAGGTGGGTGCACTTTCTCACCCACAGAGGTACACCATACAACTAAAGGCCAATCAAATCAAAGGGGATTAGGGACAAGGGAAAAAACTATTGATACATCTTTTAATTTGAGCTATTTAGGTACTGCAAGATCTTCTTCTTTCCTGCTGTTAGAAAATTAACGAGTCTACGTTAATGACTGAAGAGTAAATGGTTCCTTCTCTATAAAATGAATGGGACTTGTCAAGACCAGTATTAAAGTGAATTTTCCCCCAACTTTAACCTTTAAATCCAATCATGACATGACTCTAGAGAACACCTAGGCTCTATGCAAGGCTTCAAAAAGTATATTTTTTCCTCCTAGGGATGCATGTTGCATAGATAGTTCCCCATCTCCGGGTGGTTCCCCAACACCACTAACCGGCAGATTCGGGACAATGCCCATACCTGATGGAGTTTTCAGAGGTCATGTCAGAGAAACAAGAAGAGTGTAATAAATTATTCTTAAGGTTGGGTGTTTTCAATTCAAAGATTCTTGGTTTGTTCTTAGATTATCTCCTACCTATTATTTTAGCCTTAATTCGTCTTTTTATAAAATGTTGGTGATTGGATGTTAAAAAATGTTCAACCTCTACAAAAGAACAACCAACCAATCAAAACTGGTAACCCCTGGACAATCCCCCAAATCCCTTCTTTTTTTTTGTACTATCTTGGTCTGGCTCATCTAATTTGAGAACCAGCTGTCCACAGCACCTTTCCAGCCAATAACTTAAGGGTTCATCAGTTCCCATCTGCATGGCATAAACATGGAGAGCAACAAATAATCTACAGAAAATTGAAGTCTAATTCCAGTCCACCCTCAAGGAGTGATCAGTGGAAACACACGGTCTTCAGGGTTCACGATCACTTTGGAGCACTCTCCTTTTGCTGCACCCCTGTGCCCCGCCCTCCCTCCCCCTTCAAAATGACCTCTTTCTGGGTTTTGGAATTGAAGTGTGGAAACTTTGAGGCCCTGTACTAATCTGTGTGTCCCTCATCAGTAATCTGGGAACCCTAATTCAAAGACACTAGAGCCTCCTGAGATGCTGAGAAGTCCAAGAATCATTCAGCGTAGCTTCTCACTATTGAAACGTCTCACCCTCTCCAGGTTATCCCCAAATCCATCCACCCAGGGTGACTGCGCAGCTGGCTTGGAAACTCAAATCCAAGGAGGTTCGCCCATCCCTTTGGACACACCAAACTGAACAGAGGGAGACAATGAGCTGGGACAGGTCATCAACTATTTAAAGGATTTTTCAAGCAAGAACAGATTAGCATGTTGCCATGAAATTTAAAAATCCCTATTTTCGATGGGTGTAGTGGTACATGCCTACTTATAACTTAACTGTAGGCTTCTTAAACTTTTCTTTATTGATGTTTTCCCCCAAAATGAATTCTAGCCAAAAACCCCACTAAAACATCTACAAACACTGAATGTTTTAATACATTTATTTACCTCATCCTTAACAGAGCTAATCAGAGGCTGATAATATATTTGTTTGTGAAGAGAGTTAATTTCCTAGATAAAACATGCACATAAACACATAAAGGTGACGATATTTTGAGATATATGATGCTAATAAAGGTAACGTTTATTGGGCCAGCCACCGGGCTAAACACTTTATTGGATTACTTCACTTAATCCTTGAAGCAAACCTATAAAGTAGGTGCTGTTCTGATTCCCATTTTATAGATGTGGTTATAAATGAGGAACCTCATTACTGTAATTTAATCTTCGCCAACCCAGAATTTGAGTTCGATGGCTATAAAAAGGTTGAATAAGCAAATCAGAAATTAAAGAGGATTGCAAAAGACCTGGTTAACCTGCAGGAAGATTCTGCATCTAAAGACCTACTGAAAATCAGATGCTAATTGCTCCCAACTGGAAATGTTTGGGAAGATTCTGCCCAAAACTATACTATATCAAAACACTCTAAAATTCAGACTTTTGCTAGTTAAGAGTGGGTTTCCTGCTGGGTCCGGTGGTGTACACCTGTAATCCCAGCAGCTCGGGAGACTCATGAGTTCCAAGCCAGCCTCAACAACAGTGAGATGCTAAGCAACTCAGTGAGACCCTGTCTCTAAATAAAATACAAAATAGGGCTGGGGATGTGGTTCAGTGGTTGAGTGTCCCTGAGTTCAATCCCCAGTACTGGGGGTGGGGGGGAAGAGTGGGTTTCCTCTCAGTATTATCCCTAATAATGAGTCCAAATTAGTAAGGTTTTACTTCATTTCTGTAGATAATAGAGTATGAAGGATGTCAGTAGCTGTTCCGAATGTTTTGCATTAAAAATTTTGCATTACAGACCTATTGACCCTTCTGAGAGGTTTTTGGTTTTTTGTTTTTTTTTTTTTTTTTTTGTGGCACTTGGCAAAAGAAACACAGCTGTGTGCCCATTTTCTGAAGGGATAAACTGAGACTGGAAGAGATCACAGGGCCACAGCTGACGAACACACTAGAAATGCCCCAGGGCTGGCTTCTGTGGACTCTCTCACAGTGGCCTCTACTACAATTCTCCAGAGGTGCATACCAGCCCTGTTTTATTCCTTCTAAACTCTCCCAGGGCTCCATCCACGGACATCTCTTCAATTCTTAAGCATTTACAACAATTCTGCAAAGTGAAACAAGACCAGGATGCCCTCGGCCTCACTCCAGATTACACTGAAAACCAGTATGTGGATCCACTGACCATCTCCCAGGGAAGGTTTTCCAGAAGTCTCTGGGGGACCCAGACCCAGGGCAGCCCTCTGCCCCTTCTGGGGCGTTTTCCCACATCACAGGGGTTAAAGAAGGATCTTATGATCTCTGTCACAGAATCTTCTCACACCAAGAAGCTCAGAGGCGCTACCTGTGTGAGGAGTAAGGGGGTCACTCCTTCAGGGCCGTCCTGCTTCAGCGTCTTCCTCCTTCAGCATCCTCCAGAGCCAGGGCCTGTAGGAGTGACCCAAAGAGCACATTCAGGACATTTGGCTTCAACATGGGAACAGTCAGGGACAATCAGGGAGAGGCTAGAAAAGGGACGGGGGACAGAAGCTAGAAGAACCTGACAGCGGCTGGGCTGAGCCAGGAGGACCCAGCTTGGGCTGCTGAGGAGGGTCCCTGAGGGAGAAGAGGACTCAGGGGAGAATGACATCCAGCTCCACTCTTCTGGTTATCGGGTCCCAAACCCAGTCATCATGGCCCCCTCTTTCCCTCACCCCCCCCCCCGCAAACTACCAGCAAATGACATCAGCTCTAGCTTCAAATTACATCATCATTTTTGACCTGGGCCACCGCCACCGTGTTGGTCCAAGCCTTCCTGAAACCCCACTCACTTCTGGTTCTGCTTTGCAACTCACCTTTCCATCACCTATGGATTCTGGGTTGAATTGTGTTATGGGGTGAACTGTGTCCCCCAAAGCTCCTGTGCTAAAACCTTAACCTCTTGTATCTCAGAATGGGTCATATTAGGAAACAGGGTCACTGCAGATATAATTATGTAAAATGATTATGTAATATTGTAGGATTGGGGGGGGGCGCTAACCAATATCAATGGTGTCCTTGTTAAAAAAAAAAAAAAAAGGAAATTTTGACACAGAGACATACAAAGGGAGAAGAGCATGAAAAGATTGGTGTTATTCAGTTCAAGTCAAGGTTTCAGAAGCTGGGAGAGAGGCCTGGAATTGATCCTTCCCTAGAGTCCTCAAAGGAAGCATGGCCTTGCTGACACCTTGATCTTGGGACTCCCAGCCTCCAGAACCCTGAGACAATGGAGTGTTATTACTTAGGCCACACAGTATGTGGAACTTTGTTACAGCAGTCTGAGAAAACTAATACATACCACGCTCTCCAGAACAACTTAAATGGTCATTTAAAAAATCACTCCTGTGAGCCAGGTGCAATGGCACATGACTGTAATTCCAGTGGCTCCAGGAGGCTGAGGCAGGAGGATCCCGAGTTGAAAACCAGGCTCAGCAAAAGTGACATGCTAAGCAACTCAGTGAGACCCTGTCTCTAGATAAAATACAAAATGGTGCAGGGGATGTGGCTCAGTGGTCCAGTGCCCCTGAGATGAATCCCTGGTTCCACCCACCCCCAATCACTCCTCTGCTTAATACACTCTTATGGTATTTCACCTCCTCCAATGTAAAACAGTCTTTGAAATCATTTACCAAGTCCACATAATCTGGCTGATCTCTTCCCTGACCTCTCCTCCTTCTCTGCCCTTCCTCAACTTCCTCTAGCTATAATGGCTTCTTCACACATCCCAAGCAGGCTCCTGCCTCAGGCCCTTTGCACTTGTTCTCCCTCTGCATGGAGTTCTCTTCCCTGGGCATCCTTCGACATCCTTCAGGTTTCTGCTCTAATGCCCTTTTCAGAGAGGCCCACTCCACCTCATCACATTTCTATCCCCACCTCCCCTATTGTATTTTTCTTTGTATCTCTTGTCACCACCTGGCATTTATTTCCTTTTTAAATGTCTCTTCCTTCACATCATTGTATTGTGGTATGCTCCAGAGCCCGACACATACTAGGTGCTCAAGAAACAGTTGTTGACTGATTTACACCAAAGAAGCCAAGAGAAAAGAGGACGAGAATGCACAAAGGAGGAAGTTGTCCTCGGTATCAAAAAGTAGAAGAATCCAGAAAGATAAGGGCTGAAGCGACCATTGGGTGTGGCCATATGGAGGCCCCAGGGCACTTTAGATGAGGCAGTCCCTGTGGACCATAAGAGCCCTCGGCTGCAAAATCCACCAAGTCCCTGCCCGGGGCCAGGAATATCGTCCACAGCCAGAGGCGGGCGGGTCTGTGAGTGGGCAAATCGCTGGACTACCTTCCAGAAGTCTGTCGGTCTGCGGGGCCAGGAGAGGACAGGAGATGATGGCCGAAGGCAAGAGGGCCACAAGGGGGCGGAGTCCCAGGTCCCTAAGAGGCGGAGGGACCATGCAGAGGAGGGCCCCTGGCTAGGGGCAGGCCGCCTCTTGCCTGAGTGGAAGGAAAGCAGGCTGGGGTGGGTCCAGGTGCAGAGGGAGGCGCGGGGTGGGGGGCACCTGGGCGGGCTCACTCTGAGCAGCTCCTTGTGGGGACAGCTGAGGCCAGGCTGCCTCCTAAGCGAGGCAGGGTGGCGGAGGCACGGCGAGGGGCAGCCACTGTGGGGTTGTCACGCAGGCGCAGCCCTTAGCAGCCAGGGTGCAGGAGGAGAGTGTTCCTAAAGGGGAATTCGAGGACCCCAAAAGCTCCATCCCTGCCCGGGCAGCCATCCTCATTCCCCAGGTGCCCAGACGCAGAGCCTTGTGCCCCCCTGATTCCTCCCGGTCAATCACAAAATCACACTCTTCTTCTATGAGAGGACTCGTGTTTGTTGAGCACGTGCTAAGTCCTGGGTGTGTTCAAAGCCAAAAACCTCCAACAGCCGTTCTGCCAAGTGTTTTTCCATCTGCTTTTTGGAGGATGACACCAAGTTTCAAAGAGATTAACTCGCTCAGAGTCACACAGGCAGCAAGTGACAGAGCTGGGGCTTAAACTTTCATTTTTCTATACACTGTCACCAACCTAATCAAAGTCCTCAACATCTCATGCTTCAAATTCAACAGGATAAACGCCTCTCACTCGCCTCCTATTGGATCCATTTCACAGTCTACACTTCCTGATGAATTTTTTTGTGGCACAGTTTTACCCTGTCCCCATCCTACTTGATCCATTTTGGTGGCTTCCCGATACAGGATAATTCAAACTCCACAGGCATCCCCTGTCCTCTTGTAAATGATGCACTCGTCCTTGACCTGGCTTCCCACATGCCCCTCTGCCCCTCCCACCCCTTGCACCCGGGGGGCCCTCACCCTACAGCCCCACCCTTCTCTCCACCTGGCTCCTGGCCCTCTATGGAGGCCCATTGAGCAGGGACCCCTCCCCACTCACCAGGAGCTGAACCCCCTTCCCTTGGCTAACGTTCCACCTGCCGATGTAGACTGCAAACCCCTTGAGGGTAAGTAACCGTGTGTAGAAAACCCTTGCCATAGCCCACAGCCCAACACATATCTCAATGGTAAATGTCACCTGATCCACAGAACAATTATGATGCTCAGGTGACAGAATTTCAGAGGGTTTTCAGAAAACACAGGAGAACTGTGATGGCTGGGGGGAAGAACACTGTTTGTTTGTTATCAGGGATTAAACCCAGGGGCGCTGAACCACTGAGCCTCATCCTGAGCCCTTTTTGTATTACTTTCAGACAGGGTCTCGCTGGGTTGCTCAGGGCCTCACTAAGTTGTTGAGGCTGGCTTTGAACTTGCGATCCTCCTGCCTCAGCCTCCCAAGCCGCTGGGATTACAGGCGTGTGCCACCATGCCCAGCAACACTGGCCTTCAAGTTTGGGGGGGCACACCTGTTCTGCATTTGTCCTGCATGACCCCATGCCTCCTGGTGTGGGGGTCTGGCACCTTCTAAGAACTACTCTGCTGAGGAGGATGGTTGGATTTGGCTCCTCCCACCTGGTCCTGCACCGGCCCAAGCAAGGTCCTGGTGTCTTTCTTGCCACCCTTTCACTTTCGCTCACAGCCTGTCTTCTTCAGGAGAAGAGCTTGCCAGTGACCAGTCTGGCTGAGTGGGCCAGAAGAGTCGGGGCTCTCCTCTTTAGTAGGAAAAAGACTACTCCATTTCTGGGAAATCAGGTCTGTTAAACTCCACTTCGATCATCACAGAGCGACACCCAGTGATTCTAGGAAATCCAGAGCCACAAAGGGAGGATGGCTGGGGGAGGTGGAAGTCAGCAGACCACCCAAAGCCCATCAAATCCCCCCACAAAGAGAGAAGGGTGGTCCTGAATAACAGGCTCTGGGAGAAACTATGGCAGTCAAGGCCCTGTCGAGATCTACCAAAGGGGCAGTGTGCGCCTCATGACTTAGCTGAAATAATAGGAGCCCTGGAGCCAAGCCTGGGATCAAATCCTGACCTTGCCACCTCGCAGCTGTTGAACCTTGGGCTGGTCACTCAACTTCTCTGAGCCTCATTCTACATAAGCTAATGTGAGTCCTCGATGAAACAAGAAGTGTACAAAAACACCCAGCACGGTCCCTGGCATTATGAACCAGTACCCAAACTGAGAGGTATCCCCAGCCCCTAAGGGGCCCTCTGGATGCTCCCCTCCCTCCTTCAAGCCTTCAGACCTCAGGGCTCTCTCAGCACTCATGAAACAAATCCAGAAGCTATACAGCATTTCCCAGCAAGAAGGTTTGCAAAGAGGGAATGACAGAAGTCACCACGGGAACCAACAGGCCATCCCATGGCTGGTGCGAGAGAAGCACTAGATCTTGGTCAATGCTCACAATGCTCGGGGCCTCAGACCACACCCAAACAGGAAGTTTAGGACAAACTTAGAAAACAAGTACACACAGCTGCAGGGGGCTGCACACCAGGAACGACGACGAAATCCAGTCCTCCTGGAGGGCTCAGTGTGGGACCATAGCAGCACACAGCGCATGCGCCAACCACCCTGCTATTCCGGAGGGTCAGGATGCACCGCTGCCCCAGGCTCCGGGGCCTGAGAGCTCTGAGCTAACTGTGTGGAGCTGAGCTGGTTTGCCAAAGCCAGGATCTGTCCCCTCCGTCCCCTCCCAGGCATCAGCAGGGGCCCTAAACAGCTATCAGGGGCCTGGGAGCTTAGGCATGTAGGATTATTTTTCAGCTGGGAGATCTGAGCACAGAAAGAGGAAGTGACACGCAGCCAGCCGCCCCACAGGGCTGGGGGCCTGCATCTCTGTCTGGCTACCCAGTTGGTGCACATTTCTTCGGGCCCCCCAGTGCTCCCTAGGCGATCTCAGGCTGCCGGGTTCTTCTCTTCTGAAATCTCACCTGGCAATAACAAGTTCACTTGTATTTTCATGCCAGTCTGAGGATCTTCACTCCAGTCACTGTATTTGGAAGTGCAGATGAAAACTAGAAGGGCTCCTTCC